TTGATGGCGGATCTTGGTGCAGAAAATATTGCAAGTGCCAAAATATTGGCCAAATGTGGTTTTCACCGGGTTGGTGAAGAGCTGATTCAACTGAACGGGTCGACCGTCAATCTAGTTACTTTCGAACTCCCTCGGCCAGCATAAGAACCTCGAATCACCACCTTAGTTTTGAGCCTTAGAGCGCTTTTCTTGATCCTGTCGTTTCATTTCTTGTCGCATTTCATCCTTGATTCGTGATATCGTACCAGCGCCTCCGTATACCAAGGCAGTATAAACCATGGCCACATTGGCACCCGCGTTGACAACCTCAAGGGCTTGTTTGCCGTTGGTGATGCCTCCAGTCGCAAAAATTACCTTGGGTTGATCGACGGATTCCAGATGGGCAGGATCGATCTCGAGTCGGTCGAAGGCGTCACGCTGTGCCCGAGGAGGAAGTCGCTCAATGGCCTCCTGAATTGACTGTAGTTGTTTTTTCTCTTCCGCCAAGCGTACTTCTGCATCAGGTGCGGCCACTTCCGCCTCCTCGGCATTTTCTGTCTCTGGCTGTGACTTGTCAAACTGGCGGTCGCTGGGCAGAGTGAGGAGAGGTTGTTTGTCCGCACCACTCTGTTGAAGCATGCCACTGGCTGGCACATCACCACTGTCAACAGATGCAGTGATCTTGTCTGAGGTCGGGGAGGGTATGTTGGCAAGGCTGGGTTCTTCAGGGCTGGACGCCAGAGCTGACTTAATCCGATCTGCTTCAGCTTCTAGCGCTCCTTTTCTTGTGCTCGGATTGCTCACTGTGTCGACTGACGCGGGCTTCTCGACTAAAAGCTTCCTGTATTTTTTCACCAGATCAACCGTTTTTTCAAAGAGGTGAGGTCCGGAAAATCCTCCTCTTTCGAGCATATTTTGTTCCTCGAGGGGTGAGAGCTTTTTCAGGTGAGCAAGTGGCTCCGGTCGGCGATTCGTGGTGTTCCCGACAATGACTCCATCTACACCGGCTGCCCAGACCGCATCACATATCCCAGCAATTTCCGACTCTGAATCTTCGTCTGGGCTCACTTTAACCATTACATATGGCCTCGTTCGCCTTTGCACCGATCTAGCCGCATCCACTACCCCACTCAAGATCGTCCGCAGCTTGTCGGACTGTTGTAGTGAGCGAAGACCAGGAGTATTGGGACTGGAAACGTTGACGACTAGGATATCAGCATATGGCCCAAGCTTCTCAACACAATAAACGTAGTCGTTAGTGACGGCCTCGACATCATCCTCTGGCGTGACTTTATTCTTGGCAATGTTGACAGCGAGTAGTTTTCCTGGAGTCAAGCTTCCGGGAGGGACGCCTGCGATACCATCAAGCACGGCCTTCTCCGCGATCTCATCATCACCAAGGCCAAGAGAGTGTGCGAACCTTCTCACCCTGTTTCGCAGTCTCATGGCCACATGGTCAGCACCTTCGGAGTTGAGGCCATATCTGTTTATCATCGCTTGTTGTGATGTCAACCGGAACACACGAGGCTTGTCATTGCCCGCTTGGGGCAGTGGCGTCGTTCCTCCAATCTCGACTATTGCGGGGCCAATGTCAAACAACACATCCGGTATGTCGGCATGTTTATCTATACCTGCAGAAGTGGCGATAGGATTTCGGAGGCGTTCCCCGAAGACTTCGACCTCAAGGTCGTGGTTCTGGTCCGGGTCGCCTCGCTCCCGTGGATGTAGACCAAAGTCCCAAAGAGATTTCAGAATTCGATTGCCTGCGTGGTGTGCATCTTCGGGATCGCTATAGACCAGTCTCAGGGCTGGAATGACCACGTAACGATGGATGCTTGCTCGAGTATCAGTGACGTAGACGTAGATGATGCCCAGGCCCAAAGCAAGAGTGGCGGCATATAGAACATTGACCAGTCGAGATGGTTTCTCTTGAGAAGTGGAAGCATGCCTACGAAGTGGAGGATTAAAGACTCGGGGCCGAATCAGTAACGGGTGCGCTGGCAGACGAGGTCGTGAAGCCCTGAAGAGCAACCTCGTGGTTGAGTGTCTCATGATTGGCCTGGCAATGACACGAGTGGCGTGGGAGAGGTTAATGTGACTTATGGTCCCAAAGAAGAGTTCAAAGAGTGCGGCAGAGCTGCGTCCAGTATTTTTGGTCAAGTCATCCTTTGTCTGAGTCTGAAATGCTTTGAAGCCGTCGGCAAGAGAGGGAAACAGGAGGTTGAGAAAATTATGGTGCCAGTAACAGCCACGAAGCTTCCAAAAACTCAAGGATGCTGATTGGCCAAGTGCCTGAGCTCGGCAGACCTGCGTCTTTTGTAAAGTGGTTACATGCGGCTAATTTACGAGACTCTCATTGGCCACAATAATACAGCTACTTGCGTCCTGCGGCTCTAATGCCAAAGTTATGAAACATCAACGAGGTATTCCAAGCCATTCTCACTTACCAGTCAAACTCCAGTATCTAAGCATACTCGGGAGTAAGTATATACCCCAACACTCGCTGGCGAAGCTTGGCCTCTCCAAAGTTCATTTCCGGTTCCAGACATGCGTATTCCGCCACTTAATCTGAGTCAAATAAGTTGACGATGTGACAGACGAGATAATCTGCCGCATTTGACAATTTGGACAGTGTTGAAGGTTGTGAAAAGCCGCGGGAGAGGAATTGTTAGCTGTAGATGAGGGTGCTGCAAGCATGAACCAGAGAGCAAAGATCGCAAGAGGCGATAATGTGACTTGCTTTCTGTTGGTTTACCAATCAGCCGCCGGATGGAGGGTCGGGAGAATTCCCATAAATCTTCGTAGAAGAAGCCAAACCTTTCTCGAACCGGTGAGTTATTTTTTTGAGTTGACACCTTGAACGAAAAGCCAGTAGCATTTAAGAACCCTAGTAATGGCTCCATTCTTCGCCTGCTCCTTCAACGAGTCTGCCGCTTCTACTCCTGAATGACCTCGGTCATAGAGTCGAAAGTGCCATGCCAGCAGCCTTGCATCAGTTGGCCCAATGGTAGGTTTGCAGTATCAGGAAACTGGTTTTCTTCATATAGTTGTTGGATAAGGTGTGTTTGATGATCAGACTTTTCGAGTTCGCGGTATGGGTATTTACCCGTCAGGACTCAGGACTTCGTATATCACACACCCAAACGCGAAAATATCGGTCTTCTAGCTGACTTCCAGCATTGATCGTCGATAACTGTGCCATTGATAGCAGAAGCCGTTGGCTCCACCATTAATACTGGCACCTCCAAAGTCAAGCAATTTCAAGCAATCAGATTCCATACACGTGGATCCACGAGTTCCTGTCAATATCATATTATAGCATCCAAAATCAGCTTGAATACTACCCTTTTCATGTGCGTATCTTATACCCTCCGCGGCATCCCTTAACCAGCGAAGCTTTCGACGCAATGGGATCTTTTCCACATTCTACTCTTGAATCTTTTCCCGAAGACGCGGGCCCCGTTCCAGCATTATAGATCCATCTTTTAAGCTGCCCAGATATCTCGCAATGTTTGGAAGCGAGCCGAGCCGTGCATATGCTCAATGCTCACGTTCAGCGTCGCTCTCTTCGCCCCCGAAGTATCGTTTTATGACTCTTTTCTTATCGATCCCTTAGATGAGGCCCGAATCGCCGGTGGTGATGTATTTTCGTCCCTTATACAAGGAAACCGTCGAAAATCTGCGCCAATCTAAGGGAGAAGCATCTCGAGGTTTGTGGTTGAAGTACTTGTGCATCACATGGCAACCAGGAAGCCAACGCTGGAAAATGATGGGTAGGCAGGTTGGCAGGTAGGTTTCCTCAATAATATTATTACTCGGCGCGTTAGGAATCGATCGACGCGAATTCACGTGACTGGCGGCCCTACCAAGGACAAATGAATAGCGACCATTTCCAACATCCTCAACACCAAGACTCGGTATCATGTGTACTTACATCTGCAAGTTTCTTGTAGGCCCCTGAAACAGTCATACCACGTCATGACACACCTCTTGGTTGTCGTGGACGAGGCATGTATACAGTTCGTTCTGGCCAAATCTCACTCGTCATTGGCTGACAGCCGCCACCAAGTTCCTAGCACCTTCTACGACGCCTCGGCAACTGATTGGCGCCGAAAGCCTCAAGAAAATACGGATACGCGGATTCGCACCAATTTCATCAGAAGCATGAGACGGGTCGAATGTCTAAATATACCCCGGATTTCGGTTGGAAGACTGCAAAGTACCTCATTGCCGTCACCCAATGCTCTCATCAATGTCTTATCTCGTGACTCTTGTCCACGCCAGTGCAAGGCATTTTTCGAGGCGTCTTTTTCGAGGGCAAGGCAGATTTCTGTTTCAAGTACAGGCACAGGTGTATATATATCCAGAGGTTTTGTTGGCTCAGAGTGATTTCTGAGCTCAAACACATTCGGGCTTGCTTTGTTATATGCATGTCTCAGGCTCAACAATCTTACATAACCTCACCGCAATTTGTGCCAGTTCACAAAAACTTCCGAACCAAAGAAGCGTGCAGAACGGTGGTAAGGCGACACACGGCGCGTTTCCAGCCCGCCTCAGTGGCCCCGAGTTTCTGACACACCACTTCCCAAACGAGTCCAAGGAGGCATCAGGACGTCTAATAACGCTGACGCAGCACTCCACATCAGCAAACATTCTCAGCCACCGGCCAGCTGGCTGGGCCGCTTTTCGCGAGTCTGAGCATTTCGTGGCCAGGCCTGCTGGCCTGCTCAGCCTTCCGTCTGCATCCGAGCGGGCGAACCAACCATCAACGTTCCGGCTGCCAATAACACCGAGACCCCCTTTTTTGCACGTTTATCCACACTCATGACAGTATCTTGACGCCCTCTATATTATTTGGCACACAAGGTCAGTCTTGGTCACGTTGTTGTTATATTTTTCAGTCCACCCCAGATTCTTAGACAGTGTTTGCCCCTTCCTTGAAATCTACTCCCAGCAATCCGAAAAAGGCTCCTTAAGCATTTTCCAATCCAGCCTTGTATACTATTCACACGCTCCACAAAATGGCTGACGCCGACGCACTCCCTTCGTACAATGCATTGTTTCCCCAGGAGGAGGCTAACCCCGTCGTCAATGGCCGAAGACGGTACACGACCATTACGCTTCGAGAAATCTATTATCCCGGGGGCTGCCCCTGCCATCCCAAGGAGCAGAAACTGTCCAAGAAGCGTAAAGCGAAACAAGAACCCCAACGTCCACCGAACACGTTCGAACCAGATCCTCTGCACGACTGTCTATGGCTGGGGCACGCTCGACCAACCCTCGCCGAACGGTCAGCGAGTCAGAGCAGCGAGAGTTCGAGTCGCTCGGCGAGCAGCAGCACAGCCAGTTCTTCGAATCCGATGAACACCAGCGGTTCCAACACGAGTGGCACGGCCCCATCTGTCGATTCGAGATCCTCAAAAGCGCGACCTTGGGACTGGTTTGCCCGCAGAACCTCGTGTTGAGCGTCGTCGATGTCGGTGCCAGGACGGTCCCTACGGATCATCTCACCAACATTTCGACACCACAAAGCTCTCGTCACGAACCAGCGTTTGTGACCAGCAATATGAAGTGGTGGAAGGAGAAATTCTTTCTTCCCCCTTCGTTTCAGATTTTCCCCGGCACTGCTCACCAGCTGCATCCGCAGCACAAGGGACTGCAAGGCGAGGAGGCTGCTCAAACGGAAATTGCAGCCCCTGGACAGTCGCCGCGGCCGCATCCGCCGTCACAGGGAAGCGTAAGGCATATCTATGCCAATCCCAGCGCAGACCCTGTCGACATCCTGATGAAAACCACGCCCTCAAAGAGCCTCGATGGTTCCAAGAGGGACGAGGAGCCATACCCCTTGGCCGAGATCAAGTATCAGGGCTTGCAAGGGCTAACTCGCATGTCCATATCACTGACCCTTTACAACATCTCCCCCGAGATGCACTACTCTCCCTCGGCGCAGGAACCTCACGGCATCCGCTCCAATTATACCATTGCACGCCGCGGCTGGAAGCGCGAGTACACCTTGAGCAGTTCGCCATCCTCGCCGGTCTATAAATGGCATTCCCCGCTCCGTCACAACAGCGAGGTTCTCTCAATGCCGGCCGTCGACGACGGATTCGACCTGGCCAACGGGAATCTCCTGCTAGAAGACCCACATGGAACGCTTGTGGCCGTGTACAAGCAGCGACGGGACCACCAGTATTTGGGCGCCTTGACGATATTCCTGGACAACGTCGCCAGGGGTCCCAGTAGTGGTAATTATCACCACGTTAACGCGTACCGGAGTGAACCCTGGCAAGGGCAGGGACAGGGACATGGGCGTGAACACCACCGACGAGAACGCACGCACGGACGCGGTGATGGAGGCACAGAGAGTTGTGATGAACGAATCTCCATCGACGCCGTGGTGACAAGTTGTCTAGCCGTGGTCATGTACGAGCGGATTGGATGGCAGAATCTCTTAGGCCACTGACTCGGCTCGACTCGACCTTGCCCGACTCGCACCTGGCGTTTGTATCTTTTGATCGAGAGTTTTGGCACAATCACCGGAGAGAATGCTCGTTGGGCCTCTTGCCTCTTGCCAGATGCGCAGCGAAACACGGTGTGATGTATTATGTGTGATGTGTGATTATTGTTCTTTTCAAGAATGATAAACGACTTTTCATGACACCTTGGAAAAATGTACAATGATAGTACTATGTTACATGTAATCTATAGTCGATATACTGAGGCGTTTGGTCTGGAGCGATTGGAATCTATTGATTTGTGCGGCTCATGTATCGAGTATTGGTTCCCTCCGTTGGCTTTTGCAACAAACATACCGAGGACAAGTACAGTCTTTCAGAAATCCCTACAGATACACCTAACGATGCTCCACTTTCCACACTTTCTCCACACGACTGTACCTATGCTGCGCAAGGTGTCGTTCGAATGAGTCTACTGTATTGTACCTCGGTCTTCGTTAAGCACTGATGAGCACAACGTTCGCAGCGTCTACAGAAACGACAAGGAACGAAGAAGAAGTATAAATTTATGCAAGGCATCTACGCTGATTTCGGGGCTTCCCACCTCCCTCGCTCTGGCATGACCATGATGCAATTTTACGGGCGGTGGGCTACAAGCAGGTACTCGTACGTACTTGTAGGGGGGCTGTAGCGATCCGATACCCGACAAATACAATACCATTCATTCATCCAGCAACACGATCATAATCATCATCCAACATCAGCATCAGCATCAGTAAGTGGCGGCTGTGCGGGTACCTGGACGTATGGGTACAAGTACATACTCGTAGTACAGAAGAAACGGGACTTTGTACCTCGTAGATGGGCCCGCAATCAACCGATTCCCACCACCTTTGCCCATGGTGGGAAAAAGGGCATTTCTGTGGGCTTCGGAGGATTACGCAAGATGCTTTGTCGGGCCACCATCACTCTCCCTTACGATCTTGTGTGAAACGAGGTACGAGGTTGTGTGTACTTGGTCAGTCAATCAGTCAGCAAAAACCTGCCAAACCACCAATCCGCCCATCTGCCCGCTTAGTATCGATCAGCTGTCCCCTCCTCAACACAATACAATCATTCTGCCTCTTCATCATCATGTACCGAGTACAATCCTTTTTTTTCCCAACCTCAAGCCACAATTTTCAATCCCTCCCTACATTGTGCGAGGGTCTAGTGACGTAGAACCTCCAAGGCAACAACAGGCCGGAGTCTCCTGCATAGTGCCCCACAACCCAGACGCCCGCCGGCTTTCATCGGATAGCAAAGCAACTGCGAACCAAACCACATTCCCACAAATGGAAAGGCCATCAAACGCAGATGGTGCAAATGCCCCAGCATGTGTCAGTTCCGCAAGTCCAGAGCTCAGGAGAAGAAGGATGAACAACGTTTTAAAACTGGCGGCCGTGAAAACTAAAAGGTGGCCCCTTAATTGACGGCCTGATCAGTTAGGCTCTTTGTGGCAAGTGATATAGACAATGAGCGGCAAAGCCTCTGGACTTGGAAGTGAGGTCACGAGGTGCCGCTACATTGGGATGGGGATTCGAAAATTGGTCTAACCACATCGCGCATTGTTATCTCCTCGCTGGTGCTCAGTCGGTACAGCGAGCCGTCGCCTCTTTATAGAGACTTGCGGGAAGTATGTGTGGAAAGCCTACCTCCAACTGCATGCTGGGCACAGTGAGACAAGCGTGCCAACGCCATAGCTGGCATAGATTCACCTAGAAGCGGGGGCAGTGCACGCAACTAGACGAGTCATGGAAAAGGAAGAAGTGTCTCACAATCGGCAATCGATTCAGACACCAACGACAGCGCTCTTGCAGTAGGGCAGAGACCCAGGAGGGCAAGACTGGAGGTGTCACGGTGGTTACCATCTGTAGAAGTAGGCACCACAGATCTTCGCAGGCTATCCTCGTAGAGTGGTACAGTTGATGCGGTGAGGACATATACACTGTTTTGAATTTTTGCTCGTCACGCTGGCCGGTCAAAAATCTTCATGGGCGAACAATAGGTACCATATCCAACAAGCAATAAAAATGAAATGGAAAAAAAATGTATGTTGAGAGGAGTGGGACTCGAACCCACGCGGGTTTCCCCATGAGAAATCAAACCTCTGTAAGCAAAGGACAAGAACTGTAGTAGTACTTGAGTCACACGCCATAACCGCCTATTGTTCACCGTTAATATTTTTGATCAGCCGACACTGGTAGAAGTTTTGACGTACTCGGCCATCCTCCCGACGACAATATTTTTTTGATTTTTGGCCATCAAAAATTATAGCCCTAACATTAAAATCTTGCTGGAGCGACTAGCGCCACTTTGCGATGGAGCTAATGCCTTGGCTCGGACATGGTTGACACCATTACAGATGCGGTTGGACAAGGAATACTTTCTATATTGAAGCTTGTGCTGACGAAAATTCGCTACTTACAATCTCGCAGTCCAAGCTGAAGCCGAAGGCACATAGAGCAGCCCGTTGCGTATCAATGTGCCGCTCTTAATTCCTGTCTGTCACACGTCTTGTTAGCCCTCGTCAGTAATGTGTCGCTCCCCCAGATTCATCCCTCCCGAGGGCGTCATCGTTCCCATGTTAGCTAGAGGCGGCTCAGCCCTATTTTACCGATCCAAGACACATCCTCGGGAGGTACTCCAAGTGCCGGTCAACCTTGACACCACAGGACGTTCGAGCGCAACCACCGAATTTGCACGAGAGGATGAAGAATTTTCGCAACAGTGTTACGATCGAGAAAGGGAAATCTACACAATATTACCGCCACACGAAGGAGTTCAGTCTTTGATCGACGTCTCAGTCGAAGAGATTCGATGTCCGTTTCTGTCGAACGGGAATTTACGGAGCTATCTTCAAGAACACGGCGCCCGCATCTCGATGGCGACGCGCCGCGAGCAATGGATCCAAACTGCTGTCGAGACTATCGCCTTCATTCACTTCCTAGACGTCTTGCATTGTGACACAAGTGCCCGTAACCCATACAAGGCCTGGCATTACCTCGAGCAATGGTGTACTGTGGGCAGCTATCTCCATCATACCCTTCAGCATGGGCATCTTTATACCCTGGGCTCGGCGACGGATAAGGTAGCTCGCTGTGAACACTGAGATATTACCCCTATGTCGGATTCACGTGCGTCTGAATTTCCTGTTCTAATGATACCCTTATCCTGTTTGAACTCTTTCTTTGTGCACAATTGCTCTTTTAGCTGCCTCGACGGACCTCTAAGATCTTTGGGTCCTTGGGATTCTGTGTGGTGTCAAGATGACTGCCAACTCAATGTATCATGTATTAGGGAACGAATCTCAAACAAGGGGGCTTGCATAGGTTTTATATGGAAGCTGTGATACGGCATTATTTCTGATCCTTTTGAGGTATAGTCAAGTCTCGTCATTGCAAAAGTCTGAAAGGTTGAATATTTCTTACCCTGGCCCTTGACCTAATGCACCTGCTTCTTTTGCTGCCTGTCTGTTTTCACGACAGAGCTTGAGCAACGAGGACACACATGATATTTTGGTATTACGCGTGGGGATGATAGAATAGTCTCAATAATTTAGAACCATTACATGTCACACTTAGAACTGGATCTCTTAGTGTGTTGCGTATCACTTGAGATATTGTTCATATAGGCTTTCTTCAAACCGTCCTCGCTGCATTTGAACCAAATTATTGCCTGTCGAGGCTCCCGTTTGATCACACCAAATAAAATGCAGAGGCTCCACCCATGTTAGTCCCCCCCTTCGTGCACACCACCATCCGCAAATCGACCAGCCCTCATGGTAAATAAGGGACGTCTCACAGCGTCTCCACATGGTCACTCGGTCCCTTTTCAGTCGTGACCGGAGTCTCGCCCTCACCAACTTGAACCTCCTTGACACGGTCCAGCCTCGCCGCGAGATCCCCCGTCATAAGCTTGTAACTGTCAGGGATAAACAAACAGGTGATTATGCCGATTGTGCTGAAGGCAATCGTGCACAGACTAACGGTCCTATACGCATCGGACGAAGCCCACTTGTAGGCCGTTGTTCCGGCTTCGATGATGGACGCTGTCACACCGGGCACATCGTTCATGGACGTCCCAGTTGTTAGGGCAGTGATGAATTGGGGGATGCTCTCAGGATCCAAGCCAGCAGCGGTCAGCGCAGGAGGGACCTGATTGCCAATTGTCGTCGAAAGTCGGCTGCTCAATACACTTGTGTAGATGGCTGAGCACACTGCCGAGATGGAGACTCGCGAGCAGGTACCGAGATTTCCAGCTGAAGATCGTCAGCGACTCGGCCTCTTTCTACATCATGGCATAAATCACAACTTACCAATCCCGATATCACGTTGATCTACAACCAGGAGTGTGGCCATGGCGATGGTGATGGTTTCGACGACACCGAGACACACGGCTCCACAGAATAGTAGCCCGATCGCCTGACTCCTGCTGTCAGGAGTGCATGTAGCCAGGCCTAGACGCATGGTTAGATTTATCTCCTCCTATTTGGAACAAAGGGCCCTGAAGGAGAGAATGATGGACTTACAAGCCAACAAGATCCCACCGATGGCAAAAGACACCGTCGCCAGAATCTTGGTGCGTTTGTATAGCTTCGCAAGCACGCTTCCCAAGATCCCGCCAGTTCCCACGCCAAGTCCTGGAAGACTCATTGTCAAATTGTTGATTGTTTCGGACTCGGTGGCGTAAAGGGTCGTCACCATTCCGGGCCAGATCAGCGAAAATCCATAAAAGGCACTGGCGGCGAGACCTAGTACGGCGATCGCCGCGAGCCACTCTCCATTCTTGAAGATGTGTTTTGGGAAGAGAGGCTCTTTGAGTGGCACCAAGCTTTCGTAAAGGTACAGGGCGATCAGACAGACAGTGCCCAAGACGATCGAGGCAATGACGGCCGCCGACTTCCACGGATATCGTTGTCCGCCCCATAAAAGACCCATGAGGAGAGTCGAAAGACCTGCGATGAAGA